CTTTTTGATCAAAGAAAACGAATTTTCTGACCAATCCGGAGCATCAGATTTACCCTTCCCCCGCCCCCAACACACACAAAATATTTATTCACAAGCAAGCACTAGATTCCGTCTCCAACTGGATCTTCGAGAGAGATAATGCCGTCCGAATACCATGATTCCAAGCCATTCTATCATCAGTGGAATGACAAAGTTCAGTTGGAGGATCCCGAGTTCACTGTCTGAAGAAAAATAATAAATTACGAACTACCTTGAGCATTCCGATAGCGTCCATACCACTACCGTGCATCATCAAGGTACCAGTCGGTCCTGTGAGTCTTCATCTTTAGGCGAAACTGTAGTTCCTGACAAAAGGTACAAATTACAGTGGGGAAAGGAAGCAACTAACCTCCTGTGTATTAGGAACCAACATCCAACCAAGCTAGTTCCTGCTTTCCCCAGCTCTGATTATCTGGGAAGAAATCTGGAAGCAAAATGAGTAAGGCGACTCAAGAAATAGAAACTCACACCTCCAAATATTTTTTCGATAGGCTCGTATGTACAACCATGTAATGATGCGAGAGGTTAAGTTCTATTCAAGATAGGATTCTCTCACAAACACAGAATATCCATTGCCGACGACTTGGCCAGACCTGAAATGACAATATAAGAACCACGGTCACTTTTCGAGATTCATACCAAACGTCTTTCTCACATGGCACATCCATGGTCGTCACACCTGTCGAGGAATTCGAAATCGCCGTCGTGAGAGTAACCTATGCATGGGATGAACAAAATAAAACTTAGCATTAACAAACTAACGGACTATCCGACTCGAAATCTATCATAAGCTATATGGCAACACGCTCTTGCTTGCTGATTATTCTGAATAACAGCAGACTTGGTAAATGAGTTGCTGGAAGTACTATAAGTGAAGAACGACAGAGAATGGAAAGGCATACCTTCAACGCACCACTTCTTTCAGAATATCGTTCCAGACAATGTACTGTCGGTAAGACTAGAAGCATTTCCAATCTTCTTCTTCCTCGCTTTCTAAGTTCATGGTAGTCACTAGCTAAGTATTACTCTGAGACAGCGAAAAACATCTGAAATGACAATGTAAGAACCACGGTTACCTTGTCGAGACTCCTACCAAATGTCTTCCTCACTAGATACATCCATAGACGTCACATCAACTGATATCCTTTTGAGGAAAAATCAAATTCTTCGTCGTCGTTTCTACCAACAAACTGAATAAAGAAATAAATAAAACAAATAAAGATAAAAATAAATAAAAATTAGCATAATCAAATTAATTTCGAAAACATGTGGGCGTGACCGAAAAGC